CTCAGATAAGCAGTTGTGCTAAGGAATTCTATTCAAGATCTTGACAAGACAGTGTCTGGAGTGAACAAAACACTAAATTGGAAGAGAAATTCCAAAACAGGGAGGAGATATTCAGCAAGGAAATTGAAACACTGAAAAAGAACCAAACAGAAGTTCTGGAAATGAAAGAAACAATAAGTGAAATAAAAGCCACACTGGAAAAAATCATCAGCAGACAAAACCATACGGAGGAATGAATTTCAGGGATGGAGGACAGAGTTGAGACAATAATACACTGAGACACGTATAAAAAATGACAGCTAATGAATGGAAAAGGAAGGAACCCTGGACTTTTGGAAATCTGCTTTATGAGAAATATTTTCGTGGGGGAGCTTGTTTTTGAAGCACCACTGTCCTGGCCCTCTGCTTTCCCTCTGTGTCCCTCCAGCAGTCTCCAGGGGACTGGCTCTAGGCAGGGTGCCAAGGCCCAGCTGAAAGTCTGCCTCATTCACTCAGCTCTTCCTATGATCCTCAGTGGGCATGTTCTCCTCCTGGAAACTCCCAGTTTAATTTCCTCTTGGAACACTACACACATTCTGCCTAATAGGGTATCTATTAGGTCTGTTTTCATCAGACCCTGAGCTTCTCACAAGCAGAGTCTAAGTTTTACTGTTGTATTCTGTAAGTATCTAGGAGAGTGTGGCACACAGTAGGTGTGTAACAAACGTGGAATTGACTGTTTCAGTACAACATGGGATCCCATCTTATCACACTTCTGCTGCAGGTGTGAGACATACACCTGGTTCTGTCTCAATTCTTCCACCGTCTTAGATCACGTCACATGCAATATCATCCTCCCTGTTTATCCTAGTTCAAATTTCCATTCTCTCTCACCTTCCCAGAAAGCTCCCTGTCCTTTTTTCTTCTATGTTTCCATATGTTCCTGATTGCCATTTACAAGGTGAAGTACTCAAAAACAGCTGTGGACTTAATTTTAAAATGAGCCATAAAGCATTGATAACATACCTACTTCTATCTGGAATGGTACCTGATCCCACACATGGCAGCTACCTCTGCAGTATGTGTCTCTACAGGCAGAGGCAATGTCTGTGGAGAGCAGAGCAAGTGCCTACCGTGGCACTACCCTGCAGGTCAGGATGAATGCTGCCTTTCCCATATTCTCCTATAACAACTGGTTACACGAGTCAATGAAACAAAGGCTCACTGAATAGCTTCAAGGTACCAAGCACAATGCTAAGTGCCAGGCAGAGAACATACTTGTCCTTACTCACCTTCAAAGTATAGAAGAGAGCCCATAACTACAGGGACAACTGAAAACAAAGGCAACTCTGATCATCTCTATGCAAATAAAAAAGTATTATGGAAATATAATGAAAGATGACCACTTCTGGATGAGAGGGTGAGATACTGAGTGAAGGAGAATTGCTTGCTGAGAGGTCAGAGGGAGTTTGACTAGGGGAGAAGGCAGAAGACATTCCAAATAGAGATTACGGGGAAAGTTCTGGAGGGGAGCATGCAATTCTGGGGCCAAAGGCACAGAGAGGGATCAGCCCACACAGGCCTCCAGGGGCCACAGCTGTGGGGTCTGCCTCATGTTAGACAGTGAGAAGGAGCTGTCTGAGATTGTGCAACAGGAATATAACACAAGCAAAGTGAATATTTAACAACTTTCTTGAAACTTTCCCTACACTTCGGTACAGTGCCTTGGAGCACTGACTCTGTAAGTATCCTAACTACTAGCTAAAGAAATATTTCTTTTCATCTGTGCTTGGGAACTAGCTGCTCCTGGTTCATATTGCTAATCTCTAATCTATGGCAGATTCACTGGATCTGGCTGAATCATAAAAACAAACCAGCACAAGTAGAATAATGCATTTGTAAGTTAAACAGCTAAAAAAAAATCGACCACATTTCACTATTGGACACAGGTTGATAAATTGAGAAATCCTCTACAAGTGGCTATCTAGATGGCTCTGTGGATAAACGTGCTTGCCACTAAACCTGGTGACTTGAGTTCCATCCCTAAAACCAACTCCCACAAGTTGTTCTCTGACCTCTACATATGTGTGCTGCATGTACTCCCGTGCCCTATCCCCACACAAATAAATTAACATAAAAATATTTTTAACAAGCCTCTACAAAGTTTCCCTCTGCATACTGTCCTCTTACAGCTCTTAGTTTTAAATAATAATAATAATTGCAACAGCAGCTACAAGCAATATCCTTACTATCAGCCAGATCCTGGGAGGCACTGAAATTTATTATCGTATTTACTCCTTATAAGAAAACACAAAAACCTTGTCATCATCCTGGGTTTGCACATGAGGAAGCTGCACTTGGAAAGGCTAAGTGGTCCACCCATAGCCAGTCAGTGGTAAAGTAGAACTTGGAACACAGTATGATCGCAGCGCATACAACCTCTGCTACGGTTGGCATGTGTTCAATGTTTTCACAGTCAATTGCATACATTTCTAATCCTCCCCACTTGATAAGTTCAGGGAGAGTAATGAACAAACATTTTTCTTTGTGTTTTTTCAGCGCCTTGCTTGCTGAAATGGAAACACTATATCACACTGATAATATGAGGTGGAGTTCAGATGAGTAAGAAAGCTACCTGATAGCCATCACTGAGGAGAAACGTGGTATTCAGCTTCCAAGATGGGTGCCAATGACTACTGACAGGCATCACTGAGATATATGATAGCCTCCAAGAATGGCCTCCAGAGACTGCAAACAGGGAAGAAAGCTACCTCACAGCCATCACTGAGGATGTTACCTTCCAAGATGGCTGCCAATGACTGCAGCCTCTGGTATGACTTCCTTGTACAGTCCCCTACTACAATGAATCAATGCTACCTGTGTGATCAGCAGACCAACTGGCAGTTGGTGTCTTACTCTTGGAGAAGCCAGCAGCCCCACAGAGACGCCCCACAAAAAGAACAACCATTTCACCACACTGACTTGCCAGATAGGTGAGTGAGTTGCCTTGGGAATAGGCCCTCCAACCCTGAGGGTGTCTTTAGATGGCTCTACCCTCAGTCAGCACTTGATTTCAATCTCATGAGCGATCATGAACCAAAATCATAAAGATGAGCCAGCTGTGAAGCACTTAGCCACAGAACTAATGAGATAACGAATGATCATTTTGTTATTCTAAGTCATTAATTTGAGGGATATTTGTTACACAGCAATAAAAAACTAATAGAAAAGACACTGAGAGGAAGTAGGGCTAGAGACTGAGGTATTAAAGGACCTGTGGGACCAACGACAGGCAAAGCAATGAAGAGACCATGGGGGAGACCTTAAGTAAAGACAAGTACATCTCCACCAGGAACCTCAGAATTAAAAGAAATCTTAATGGTCATTTAGTCTAACCACTCACCAAAGGCTAAAGCTATTTGCAGAATAATGAAACTAAGCCAGGAGACCTCATGAATTTATTTAGGCCGAAGCCAAGGGGCAAGAGGACTGCTTCCTAACACTTGCCTGCACACGGTGACGACTGGAGTTGTAGCAGGTCCCCCTTTATCTGTGGTTCCCCTTGTATGGTTTCAGTTATCTATGGTCAGTCACCGTCTGAAAATATTACATGCAAAATTCTAGAAATAAACAACTCATAAGTTCCAAATAAGTTTTGCTAAAGTATATTATTATAATAATACACAATTTGTAAAAAGGATAAGAGGGTCAACTGGACTAGTTACAGCAGAGACCAGCTTCCTACAACTAAACTGAGGGAGTTCCTGAAAGACTTAAATAAAAAATGAGAAAGGAGGGAAAAGATGAGGAGGAGAGGAAAAGAAAGAGGAAAAGGAGGAGAAGCCATGGAAGGAATGGAAGCAGAGAAAGAAGAGGAAGAGGAAGGAGAGGGAGAGGGAGGAAGAGGACACAATGAAAAAAAAAGAAACATTGGGCAGAGAAAATGGTTTATTAAATGCTATGTGATAGACAGTCTCCTAAGTCATTTAAGCACATCTCATCTTGACCCCACAGCCTGTGTTTCCAGACTGTTTCCGTTCTCTCTTTTCAGGGCTGTCTCAAAGCTCCTAAACTTTCCACAGGAAAAGGAAAATCGGAATATCCGGTTGAGGCTCCAGTAGGGTCAAGCCAAGAAGGAATCCACTACATCAGATTGAGGAGTTCCTTTCACTGAGCACCATGCTTTCCGGCTTGTTAAGGAGTGCTACTACCCAAAGGAAGAATGTATCCTAGATGAAACATTTGTAACACCCACAACACTCTTTTTACTGAGATAAGTGTTTTACTGGTACCCAAGTTCATTCTTTTAGAGGCCAGGAGTGGAACTAAGAACCCCACAGGAGGAGTGGCTCCCCATCTTTCTACATGACTCAAGAAGTCAACATAGGCATTAGCCTAACCAAAGGGGAGCAGGAGGAAATGTGTGGGAGCCACCTGTAAAAGATGCTGCCGTGTGGACATGGTATGTAAAAGGAGGCAGAAGGGGGCTCAGAGCACAACCAACAAGACAGTCCAGTAACATTTAATAGGGTCAGTGGAACATGCCAGAAACTGGTTAAGAGGATGCCTCACAAGCCTCTTTGGATAAGAGTGATCAAAAAAAATCCTTTATCAGAAAAAAAATGACATGATCCTTTGAGGTTTTTGTTGTTAGTTAGCCTTAGCCTTTAACAACAGAGCTATCCCTCCAGCCCAACATGATCCTTTGAAATAACCAACTTACTGAACTGTTGGGAATTGCCAGCCAGAGAGACCAGCTTGATTTGCAAATGGCTGTTCTGCTACTAAAGACCCAGCCTCAAAGAAAGTACTATCATTCAATGATAGCAAGTTCACTGAAATACAGCTAATTCAGCCTATACTTCTTGGCATTTTGCTATAGCCTGAGCACCAGGCCCAATACACAGTAGGTATGTGGTTAATGTGGGTGCTGACAATAATACAGCCCACACTCCATCTCCACAAGGAGCTAAACTCAAAGAATCCAAAATCCCCAGTGTTCCTCAGTTCTCAGTTTTTACCATCATTGAAGCTGTCGCCGGTAGCCACATGGGTGAATGGTGACTGGTCCCGAGGCTCCTCACACAGGGAGTAGCTGTGTTCAGCCTGGATGAGAGGCGCTGGTGATGTTGGGGATGGTTCCACCTCCATGGACACATTCTTCTCTGAGAGGAAAGGATCATTCAGGAGCTGTCCCAAGACATTCTGGGAAAACTCATCCAGAAGTTCTGAGAAATGCTGCAGAAACACAGGAGGAAGAAGTCAGGTTTTCTTAACCATGATCTGATACTCACTTCACACACACACTCTAAGAAAACACATATGAAGTTACTTGCAGTATCCAGTTATCACTTACTGTTCATCAAGTCCAATGGGAGCTGGGATGATGGCTTAATTGGTAAAGCACTTGGTGTGCAAAAACGAAAGCCTGAGCTTGATCCCCAGCTCCCACGTAAAAAGTCAGGCATGGTGGTGCATGCTTGTGATGCCAGTGCTGGGGAGGCAAAGACAGAGACTCCCTAGGGCTGGCTGGCCAGTGAGCCCCAGGTTCCAGTGAGACACCGTGCCTCAATAAAACAAGGAATGACACCAAGGTTGACCTTTGGCTTCCACACATACACATAACACATGTGCATGCACAAACACTCCCACATCTACACACACATACACCTGCACATACACACATACACCAGTGCTTATCAGTTTCAAGTAATCATAACTTATTATTCCTCATGACTCTGTGAGCTGTGTGCAAAGCAACTTCATGGAGGTCTCCTGATTCAGCCACACTGAACTGGAGGCTCAGCTAGGGCAGCTGAACACCTTTCTCCATAAGGGACAAAATGAAAGCTGAAGAAGCCTAGAATCACACAGCATCCCTATCTCTAGGAACTTCTAGTCAAGACACATAACAAACCCAGCCCACGCTCACTGGGTGGGAAAATATGCCTCTACTTCCTGAGGGGAGCAATGGCAGAATCCTACTGCAGATGAGTGTGAGGGAGAATGGAGTGATTCCACAGGACCATGGCTGGACTGACCAGTCATATTCTGCACTAGTAACATCTCTAATGAGCTATCCTGTACTTCCACAGTGTGAGGTGGTGGCTATAGTAATGTGCCCAGTTCAAAGGCAGTAAGGCAGGGCTATAGTTAGGATGTAGATTCCTGCCCCCTCCCCAGGTCTACTTTTAAAGTTTCGGTCCATGGTGTTATGGAAGGTGGTGGACCCTTTAAGAGGTGGGGTCTCATGAGAGGACTTCAGGTTATTAGGGGTATATTGGTTAGTTTTTGTCAACTTGACACAAACCAGCGACATCTGGGAAGAGGGAACCTCAGTTCGGGAACTGTCTCTACTGGATGAGCCTGTGGCTATATTTGTGAGGCATTTTCTAAATTGCTAATTGGTGTAGGAGGTCCTAGTCAGCTGTTGGTAATACTATCCCTGGGCAGGTTGGCCTGGACTATGTAAGAAAGTTAATAGAGCAAGTCAGTGGGGAAGCAAGCCAGAAAGCAGTGTTCCTTCATAGTTTCTGCCTCCAGGTTCCCACCTTGAGTTCCTGCCTGGCTTCTTGCAAAGATGGACTGTGCCTGGGGAGGCACTCTTTCCTCCCCAAGTTTGTTTTGGTCAGTGTTTTATCACAGCAATAGAGAGCAAACAAGAACAAGGGGCATACCCTTAAAAGAGATTGTGGGCCCCTGGGCTCTTCCTCTTTCTCACTTCTTCAAGTGTCTGATGAAGTTCCCTTTAAGACCAAAATTAGGGGGGTGCTGGAGAAATGGCTCAGTGGTTAAGAACACTGACTGCTCTTGTTGAGGACCCAGGCTTAATTCCCAGCACACACATGGTGGCTAACAACCATCCCTAACTCTAGCTCCAGGGGAAGCCAATGCTCTCTTCCAACCTCCACTGGTACTGCATGACACTGGTGCACATACATACATGTAAGCAATACACTCATACACATAAAATAAAAATAATGAATAAAATATTTTAAAAGACCAAAATTAAAGTAACAGAAAGAAAAATAATATAAAACATAAAACACAAAAGCAAGAACTGACCCCCTAGTCTGTCCATTTCCAAACCACAATTCTGCCTGTTGAAGGCAAAGTCAACTCTGGCCAGCTATGCTGGCTCTGCAAAACTTCTGGAATCCAGTTCTAGCTGTAGGCAAGGCAAAGCTGCCTAGGTCCAGCTAGTCTGCTGACACTCTGTTTTCTTTCTCCTGAGCAGCACTAATGAATGTTTTCACGAACATCCCCTGGATAACCAATAATAAACCTTCTCACTCTGCTTCTCTTCCCTAGGCTCCCCCTACTTTGGATGATATAGTAATTATCATGTTATGAAACAATGACATGCAGTCCTGAAAAGTTGTTACCATGTGCATTATCATAACCTCCGTATCTGGAGACAAAAAATAAATAAATAAATAACCATCCCCAGAAGCAAGGACGTACTGTGTCTAGCCTCCCACTCAGGAACTTAGCAAAGGTAACCTCTGAGTGAGTTCAGGGGAGATGTGCCCCAGTCAGGCCTGCCAGATATCATGACTCAACCCAGTGAAATGGTTCCAGCCAGGTCTACTTGGCAGTTGTGTTCTTGGGGACTCAGCAGACAGGTGAACCTCCTACTGCTGGTGCAGGGCTCAGACCAGGATCAACCCATCATTAATGCCAGCCTGTTGGGAGAGAAGGATTATGGTTCTGGTATCCCCAAACTAGAAAAAGGAACAAGTGAGCCTCAAAAAAGAAGTGTTTCTGGACCTGCAGACACTTGAGCAAAGGAGTTAAGGGTTAAACAAAAGCAGTTTAATTCTTTCATCTCATTTTACCATTCTGCATAATAATTTAATCACACTTTACTGGTATATTTCTACAGCCTTTTCCCAACTCAATGCTCATAGCAATCCTGTGAGGCTGTCTTTCTACCTACAGTCCAAGATCTCAGTCACCTATTGAGAGACCTTGAATTAGGGTCCTCTTAGTTCAAATTGGTTGGACTTATCCCACCTTGCTTCTCCTAGGAAAAAGATACTTGACCCTCACATCTAGCTGCTTGGAAAGTTCTTTACGATTTATTTATTTTTATTTTATGTGTATGAGTGTTTTGCCTGCATGTAAGCACACCATGTGCGTGCACTACCAACAGAGACCAGAAGAGGGTGTCAGATCCCCTGAAATTGGAGTTACAGACCTTTGACAGCTGCAGTGTTGGTGCTAGGAACCAAATCCAGTCCTCTGGAAGAGTAGTAAGTGCTCTTAACCACTAAGCTATCTTTCTAGCCCCTGCATGGGAAGTTTTTTACAACTATAAAAACATACTGCTGACGTTTGTTGGTACGGGTGACGGTGCTAGGCTTGTCAGGACTGAGTGCTTAACTTAGTAGCTCTTCTCCTACAAGGGAGCCAACATTCCCTGGATAGATAAGAAATGGGGGTTCATGATACTTAGCACTTTGCCCAGGGTTGCTCTGTTGATGAAGTATGGAAATGAGATTCCATTCCAAGTCCAAAGGGGTCCACACTCCATGGACTTTCTATACAGCATGCTGCCTCATCAGAGTCAGCCTATAATACTACAGAGACACACCTCCAGATAGACCGTCCACTATGACCATGCAGTCTTTCACAGGGAAAGTGTAGAAACAGGCTGGGGTGGGGGGGGGCAGTGGTAGAGGAGGGTGTTAGGTGGGAAGGCACCTAGTAAAACCCTCTGTGGTCCTCTAGCTATAGAGATGGAGATATTGACTTGCCTCCAATACATGTTTCTGCTAAAGGGTTCAGAGTCATTTGGATTGGAACTTACTTCACAACATGAATGTGTTTCACCCAGCTCAGTGAAGACACTAGGTAACTTCTTTAAGGATTTAAGAATCACGTAAACATCAATAGTAAAAGCCCATTAAGGGAAAACTTTCTCGTTCTGGTCAAGTGGATGAAATATCTGGCCTGGGTGGAGAGCTAACATTCCAGCTGGGCAGGGTAGATGACCTGGCTACAGGACCATCACTCAGGAATGCAAGATCACCTCTAGGAAAGTGTGTTCACATTAAGCTATACTAAAGGGAAAGGGGGAATAATTATGCCTTTAATGAGATAACATACTTTTCCTTCCCAGAATTCCCGCCCCCTAGTGCAGTAGCTTACAGGGCCACAGTCACAGGGCTTCATAAGTAAGTATGCTGACTCAGAAAAGCATAATATATCCTCTTCCTCCTAGCTCTGTTCCAAGCATGCTTTCCCTGGTACTTTGTGCTTCCCTGCTCTTTCTCTATAGCTCCCCTCTCTGCCCTGTGCTGGTCCACCATGTGACTGACCTCCAGGCTAGCTTAACTTAAAGGGCATGGCTTTATTTTCTTTTTCCTTCTCTTCTCCATTCTCCTCCTCCAGACAGCTGCCAAGATTTACAGCTTGCCTGCCATGGGGTTTTTCGTTTCAACTCTATTATAAAGAATGGCGTCAAGTTCTAACCACTTCATTATTTAATATCATCCAGCTTAGCTCCAACCATTCTCTAAAACTCATCCCTCTTTGCTCTTCTGTGGTTTATTTTTCCTGGGTGCTGGGGACAGAAACCAAAGCCTTAACACTGTACCTGCTACATCCCCAGACTCCTCCCTTTGTTCTTACACATGATTCGGTCATTACAATCCTAAAGGTCAGACAGCCCTAAACTTGAGTACCCAGCAGTTCAAAGACAGTAAAATACTTCCATCCTCCAAACTTTGGTTTCTTTTCCCTGTAAAGGTAGTGAACATTAGGACTGGCCCCCTGCTGTGAGGATTAAACCAAATAAAGCAGGTAATGAACGTGAGCTTCTCTAGATCATGGGCTTATAACCTAACAACGCAATAAAAGGCTAACGTTTTCTACCTGCACATCACCTTCCCACCCCTAGAAAGTCCTTTCATTTTCCTCTCTACCTAAAATGAAACAAATTCTTTTTTTTTTTTTAAGTAAAGTCATCCCAGAAAAATGCAGCTGGAATTCTCTTCTGGGGCAGTTGTAGCCCTTAGAATTCATAACTCTTAATTTGATACATTTTTACTTTTCTTTGAAGTTCCTTTCATCTCTGTCTTACTTAAATATTTTATTGTTTTGCCTTATAAAATTTATGACTCAGATGGAAATCTTTTTGCTTGTTCATTTGTTTGGTTTTTGAGACAGAGTCTCATGATGTAGCCTTGGTCTGGACCTTGCTATGTAGACCAGACTGACCTCGAATTCACAGG